TTACAGTACGACAGCTTCAGATAATTTTCTTTTTTCAAAGTATGAATTTTTCATTTTTATTATAAAGGTGATGTACAGAGGGGTTACAGTTACATAAGTCAGGTAATGAGTACTTTTTTTTTTTTTTTTGCCAGTCCTGGGGCTTGAACTCAGAGCCTGGACACTTTCTCTGAGCCTCTTTTGCTAAAGGCTAGTACTCTACCACTTGAGCCACAGCACAACTTTCAGCCTTTTCTGTTTATGTGGTACTGAGGAATCACACTGAGAGCTGCATGCATGCTAGACAACCACTCTATACATTCACAACCTAAATACATTTCTTTTTGAAGTGTCACCTCTTCTCTCATTTTCTCCCAGTTTCAGATATTTTTCTCCAGAACTTTATAGCAAGTGTTTTTTTTTTAAAAAAAACTTTATAGCCCTTGTAGGTTTTTTGTTATTATTTTGGTGCTGGTGATTGAACTCAAGAGGACAAATGCTTGTTTAATCCCTGAGCTTTATCCCCAGCCATTGTAATGGAATATCCAGAAGTTCAAATTGTCCTACAATTGGCAATTTTCAAAAAGTTACATATTCTTCTTCATAAACCTCATTAGTAAGGACTCCATTTTGTTCAAGTGTACTATGACAATGGCATAGTCTTATACCGAGGTTGAGGGTTATTTGGTTCTTCATTAAAGGTAACACCATGCTATATGGTTTACAAAGGTGAGCATTTGCTCACTTGTAATCTGCTTTCATTTCTATAGCTTAATAGAAAGTTTTCTTTTTCACTCAAGACATGCATCCAGTGTTGAGTCAGTGAGGAGGTTCTTTCTGCTCAGTCATCTAGGACCCAAGTTTTATGGCTTCTGTATTATCTAGCTGTACTATCTGAGCATGTGGCTTTCTTGGTTGTTGTGACAGGGAAAAGACAGAGGGTATACTGGCTCTTCTGTGCTTTGGCCTGGAAATGACTCACATCACTTTTATTGCAGCTCATTAACCAGAACTAATGACAAAAGAGGTAGAAACACCAGAGATCAAATGATATGTCTGTTGAGCACCAATATCTCAGCCACATGTGTCAAAGTAGTTAAACTTCCCAGAGGACAGCTGGCTACATCTTCCCCAAAATTTACTTTGTCTCCTCCTTTCCCACCCCCAAGTCTTCTGAAAAACCAACCATTATCAGGAAGAGATTATATAGCTATAGTTCTCGGGCTTGGCATTTTCAATTTTAAATTCTTTTTTTTGGGGGGGGGGCCTGGTTGTGGGGCCTGAACTCTGGGCCTGGGCGCTGTCCCTCAGCTCTTCAGCTCAAGGCTAGCGTTCTACCACTTGAGCCACAGCGCCACTTCCAGCTTTTTTTCTTTTTTGCTTATGTGGTGCTGAGGAATCGAACCCAGGGCCTCAGGCATGCAAGGCAAGCGCTCTACCACTGAACCACCTTCCCAGCCCCAAGGTTACTTCTTGTTGGTGTAGCCTACATTTAGTAACTGGTTGGTGTGAAAGACTTGGCACCTTGAGTTAATTTAGAAAAATGTAGAAGACCATCACACCTTTAGAACTCCATGCAGAACTGGCTTACGTACTGTGGTTCAACTTCTCCCTGTGTTCAATCTTGCTTCCCTTGGTGTTAACAGAAATTGCTGGAAACTTACCAAATAACCTGCAGCCAAGTCGCAGAGTTTTAGGGTCTGTTTCATGGTGAGTCCTACTTACAATAGGCTCTTTGATGACTTCTATCAAACATATAAAGTGTGAGAAATAAGCATAAGCTGTAGAGATTCGTAATTACCTAGCCCGTCCTATTATAAATACTAGACCTCACTTGCTCTACCAATTCATTGCTCTCACCTGAGCTTGACTTGTACTGTTTTGTGCAAGTGGGTAAGTCACTGCCAAGTTCTAATTTTTCCTTGAAGTTTTCTCTGTATGAGTGAACAGCCACAATCCAATTGCAATAGAAATACTGAGGACAATAAAAAAGGAAGGTTGCATATCTAGTCGTCTGCTAAAGTATTCCTACAAAATTAGTGGCATGTATTTTTTTTTGGGGGTCCGGTCGTGGGGCCTGAACTCTGGGCCTGGGCGCTGTCCCTCAGCTCTTCAGCTCAAGGCTAGTGCTCTACCACTTGAGCCACAGCGCCACTTCCGGCTTTTTTTCTTTTTGCTTATGTGGTGCTGAGGAATCGAACCCAGGGCCTCAGGCATGCAAGGCAAGCGCTCTACCACTGAGCCACCTTTCCAGCCCGGTGGCATGTATTTTTTAATATGAATTTTTTTTTTTGGTCCAGTAGTGGGGCCTGAACTCTGGGCCTGGGTGCTGTCCCTCAGCTCTTCAGCTCAAGGCTAGCACTCTACCACTTGAGCCACAGCGCCACTTCTGGCTTTTTTCTTTTTGTTTATGTGGTGCTGAGGAATCTAACCCAGGGCCTCATGCATGCAAGGCAAGCGCTCTACCACTGACCCACCTTCCCAACCCTAATATGAATTTTCTAGTAGCTTTTCTTTTTCTACATAATTACTTGATGTTTCTTAGAAAAATTATGCAAATTAAACACTGAATAATCATGTACTCGATTTTAATTTGAGGAAGAAAAACAATATATTACCAATTAATAAACTTTTTGCCCCCCTCCATCATACTGAAATCTCTTTCTCTCTTCAGTGCAAGATCCCATTTGGCTTTTAAAAGCCAAATATTAAAATGATACTATTTTTAGGCTTCTGAAGCAAAACAAAATACAGTAATAAACAAATGAACCAAAGCATATGGTTCTTTCTTTTTCAAAAGGGATTTTACTATATAGAAACATTACTCTGCCTGAAGTATAAACAGTATAAAAATATTTCAGCTGAAAAGTCTTAGAATCCTAGGCAGGTATTGCCACAACCCGTAATTATAGCAGATATTTAGTATGATAACAGAAACCAGTTTAAGGAATGTAGAGATTTATTACCCCTAGTTCAGATAAAGAGATAAAAAGAGACTTGAATAAGCAAGCAGAGTATGACTTTAGAAGTGTATTCATGAATATATCTTTGGAACTGCCCTTAGCCACAAGGAAAGACCGGCAAAACCAGCCTTCAGCGTAAGCCTTCTGCAGCGTGGAGAAGGGAGGGCTGGACTTCACCTCTCGATCGCCCTCCCACACGATTTTTTCACCTCTCAGCTAAGAATTAAATACAGACTTCCGTTCATGGCGCCCTGCACGTCACCTTCTCGCCTCTCTCCAAGGAAAATCCCACCAAGTCTGTTGGCCTGCAGGGGCGTAGGTGGAGGGACGGCTGGAGGAACTGCACCCCCCATCTTGCTGGCTAGCTTCAACCAGATTTGCAAATAGGGGGAAAAAAAAGGGTCAAAACAGATTCTAGAAAAATGCAGTTACCAGAGGGATCTTCTCAGTTCCTAGGGCTGCAATGGCTGGATTCCCGAGGCAACAACTCTCTACTGTAATTTTCCTCCCCAGAAGCCCTAAGCGACCCCCTGGGCCCCCGCAGCCCCTCAGGGCCCGCAGCCTTTGTGAATGAAGACCTCCCTCGGGGAGGCGAAACCGCGCTGCCCGCACCGTGCCGGTCCGGCCGGTTAAAGGACACAGAGTTTGGAGTGTGGGTTGCACGGCCGCCAAGGTTTCAGGCCGGCTAGGAAGGCCGGGGGCGGGGGGTGGATGGGAGAGGAGAGCGGGAGCGCGGCGGGGGCGGCCCGACGCCGCTCCGAGCCCGCACCGCGGGGCACCCGTGGGTGGGTGGTCTTTCCAATCTCGGCTTTTGTCTGCAGCGGCGAGGGCGAGCCCGAGGCCAGGGTCTCCACTGGGGCGACAGGCAGGTCCATCCGGATCCCTGGCGCTGTGGAGGCGGCTCCGACCGCAAGACAAGTGGGGGCAGGCCTCCGCTCGAGGCTCTCCTTCGAGCCTCGGGGAGACCCCGACGCCCCGGCCCGGCTACACCTTGGGTGGGGGAAGCTCGCAAGAGTCGATCGAACGCTAGACAAAAGATGTGGTCGCTTACCCCCCCCAGCCCCCCGCAACCATCCACCTACGGAAGGTAGGCAAGGCAGCACCAAAGGGCCTCCGCGGCCCCCCGCGGCCCCCCGCGGCTGGCCGGCCCCGCCCTGCCCGCGGCAGTTCGTGAGAGACACGCGGGCTGCGCCAGCGCCGCCGGAGCCCAGCCAGTTCCCCCCCACTCTCCGCCCCCGAGCGATGGGCGGGGCCGGGAGGGGTAGGGAGCGCGCAGGCGCAGTGCGGCTCGTTCGCGCCGCCGCTGCTGCTGCCGCCGCCGCCGCCGCCACCGCCGCCGTGACGCTGCTGCTGCTGCTGCTGCCGCCGCCGCCGCCGCCGCCGCCGCCGCCGCCGCCGCCGCACCACAGGCCCGAGACAGACTGGGCCGGGAAGAGCCGGAGACTGAGGAGGCGGCGGCGGAGGCGGGGCGACTCCGGTGACCGGGAGCGCCGCAGACTGGCAGCTGAGGCGACTCCCCCCTTTGTGTCTGGTCTGCTCAGAGTCGCTGGAGTGCTTCCCAGAGGGGCGCGGGGTGTCTGGCAGGCTCGGCTGCCCACCCCACCCCCCTTTTCCCGGGCCATCTACATCCGCCCTCCCGCCGCCCCCCGCCTTCGGCCTGCGCCGCCCGAGCTCCGCCCGGAGCCCTGAGCTGCGGGAGAACCAGGCGGCGGCGGCGGCGGCGGTGGCGGCGGCGGCGGCGGCTTCCCCGCGGGGAAAGTGGGGGGACTGCGATTCGCTCACCGGAGCCACTGACGAGAGAGGACGAGGATTTCACGGTGGGATTTATCTCGAGCAGAATCGAGCGGCCGGACTAACCGAGCGCGAGGCGGCCGCCGCAGCGAAGTCGGGAGAGCGAGGCGCGGCGGCCCCGCACCTCCCGTCTTGGGGGCTCGGGGCCCGGGGCCTGTCCGCCGACCCCCTCGCCCCACCCCTCCCGTCCCCCGCCGCCCCGTGGCCCGGCCGGCCGGACCCTGGCGTGATTGTTCCACGGAGGCGTGAGGCTGTGCGCTCGCCCATGGAGCCAGGCACCTTTCCGCGTCCAGTCGAAGGAGAGCATTTGTGGATGTCGAATTCGGAGTGAAGGGCGCCCCGAAACGGAACTTTAAAAGGAATCCTGCGCTCCCCGTGCCGCGGGCGATGCGCCTCCGACCGCCGGGCGCCGCCGCCGCCAGCCCGGCTTCACCCTTCCCGGCAGTCGGGAATTTGTTCTGATCCTCGCCAGTCCCTCCCTCCATCTCCCCCTCTTCCTTCCCACGCCTCCCCAATCGAATCCTCGCCGCTCACCCCCCACCCCCGCCACCACTGCACCTTGGATATGTTTTCTCCCAGACCTGGATATTTTTTTGATATCGTGAAACTCCGAGGAAATAAGTGCAGGGATTTCGTGTGAGCTCCCTTGCTTCTCCCCCTCTCCACCCCCCACGGACATGCCTTCACTTCACAGAACGGGGGGCCGAGGCACCCTATCCTAGGCGAATGAACCCCTCCAGCCGCGAGGGAACGCAATGAAGGGAATGTCTGCTGCGGAATGAGAGCTCTGCAGCTAGGTCCTCTCATCTGCCATTTGTCCTTCCAAACTGCATTGTAATACGGGCAGGATAAATCAGACGAAAGGGAAGAGCAGCCTCCTGGCTGGATTTCTCCGCCCGTATTTACTTTTCACATATTATATATATATATATATATATTTTTTTTTTTCTTCATTCGTCGTCGTGCTTCTTGGCTGGCCTAGGGATGACTTCCTCGCTGCAGCGGCCTTGGCCGGTGCCCTGGCTACTATGGGCCGTCCTGATGGTCAGCGCCGTGACTGGTGAGTAGCCCCGGGTGGCGAGGCCCAGGCGCTGTCCCAGTGGGTGGCGAGGGAGGGGAGCCCGCAAAGGCCCAGGCCTGCGCTCGTCCTTCGCGACGGTCCCCTCGGATCGCCCTGGAGCGGATCCCTGACCTAGGACTTGCCAGCAAAATCACCTTTAGTGTTTTTGGGTAGTTTCATAGACCCTACCCCACCCCTCTCCATTGAGGGGGAGAAAAAGACATATTGGGTGTGGTATCTTGACATTTTTAGCTGTGAGGTAATGCAAGGAATAAAAATAATATTTTAACGCCATCGAACAGAGTCTATTAGATCTTTGGAACCAGATCTGTGTGTGTATTTATTCAGATCTGTGTGTGTATTTATTTTTAAATATAAAAGAAGCGGATTGGGCTTACAGTAAAAAGAACATCAACTCTACACACACTTAGACCTTATTTTTAGATGTAGATAGCTCTTTGGGAATCCATGTTACTTTCATTATTCAGAAACGTTACCGAATGATTAGATTAAATGTTGAGGAGGACAGACTAGGTTCTTGATACAGTGTGTAATATTGTTTATTACTATTATCAGCAGTGTTTTAGCAATTACATATTTAGCTTTTCAACCTGGACCTTCTGTGCTTTTGGAATTACGGTTGGCATAGAAATATTTTGACAACTTTAGTCATCTGGCATCTGTTGGCTTTCCTGTCATTAAGACAACTTTGACCTCACATCAGACTTCTGGATTTGATTCTTGAAAGTTCTTAGGCATTTTATCAAAGTGTAAAGGAGGTAGTAGTCATCCTTTCCTTTGGATATTGCCTTTCTAAGATGCCTTAGGGAAACACCTCAGGTTCCCATTGTAGTTGTCTTCAATTGTCTTGGTGATTTGCTTCAGAAAATTTCAGGAGTGATTTGTAGACATAATTCTTAAATTTGGCTTAGGATAGCCACTTGGATTATATATTTAAAAGTGAATAAAGGACGAAGTTCTGACTTTCTAATAATTTTTTTTTCTAATTGCAATTTTCACCTTCAATGGATTTCTCCTTGCGATGTTAGACATGGGTTACTTGATTAATTTCTATTTTAAAAGTCTGCATTGGAAAATGATGAAAGAGGATTTGAAAATTTTGTGCTTTTGATACTATTGAATATACCTGTTGGTGATCAATGTCTGTTATTTTTATAATAAATCTATGTAATGTTAAAATCTCTTGAACTTACGAATTGTCTATATATTTTAATATTTTAAATCATTTTGATTCTTTTTTTGGAGCAAAAGTGAACATAATTTCTCTAAATTTCTTTATGTTTGCTGTTTAAATTCTCTAGCAGTAAGTCATGTGGTTCTTGTAAAATATAAAGAGAGTAAAAGGGCCTAAAATCCCAGATAATTTTTGTTCTTTGTTATTCTTGACTTTTTTAGAATGTGGATTCTCACTTACAGTGATGTACTCATCATCTTGTGATTGGAACTGAAAGAAATAAATTTTAAAAAATTGGTTTAAAAATAAATTCGATTTGGTAAATAAAATATTCTTAGAGTACTGTCCATTTTAAAAAGGAAATAGATGAACAGAATCACTGTATAAAGTGACTAGTTTTTTTTTTTCTTTAATATTATGTAGTACCAGATGATGGAGATTGTGAAGCTTTAGTTCAGTGCTGTAAGAATAATGAAGCTACTATTTGTTGAGCACTTCGAATGCATTAGCAAATATTCTGATAGCTTTGGTATATTTCTCCTTTGATCCTCATAGCAGTGCAGTTCTGTACTGTAGATTGTTATTTTTCCCCTTTTACAGAAGAAAGAAAAGTTAGTACAGTGAAGTTAGTAACTCATTACGCAGTCAGTAAATTATGGAGCAAGGATTATAGTCTTCACCTTACCTACCACATTAATGCTAACAATAGCAGTAGAGGCAGAAACTTCTCCACTCTAAATGGGAACATGAGATAGAGTAATGGCTTCACCATTAAGCTTGGACACTTAAAGATGTACAGGCACTAATCAGTGCAAATGTCATGGTGTTGACTATGTAAAACTTGGCTTGATATTGGAATAGCCAGTGCCATTTTACTAAGTAAGGGCCAGGTGACTAAAGCGATTAAAGATGATCCGTGTATATTTGGGATTTACCAATGCAGTTAGGTGCAATAATGCAGCTGATCCGGAAACAATATTGTAAGACTTAGTGATAGATAACACACCCTTCTTTGGGGTCCTGGATAAAACATTTCTTTTGAATCCCTTCTTTCCACTTACTCTGGTCTTAGACTCCTTAATTCTAAGAAGAATTGGTATGAAAAAAATTGGAACTTATGGGGGAAAAAAAGATGTATTTGTTGGGTACAAGTGTGTGTGTGTGTGTGTGTGTGTGTGTGTGTGTGTGTGTGTGTGTGTGTGTGTGTGTATGCATGCATGCATGCGCTGTCCCTTAGCTTTTTTGCTCAAGGCTAGTGCTGTATCAGTTGAGTGTGTGTGTGTGTGTGTGTGTGTGTGTGTGTGTGTGTGTGTGTGTGTGTGTGTATGCATGCGCTGTCCCTTAGCTTTTTTGCTCAAGGCTAGTGCTGTATCAGTTGAGCCGGAGCTCTCCTAGCTTTTTGGTGGTTATTTGAACGTATCATCTCAAAGACTTTATAGCCCAGGATGACTTTGAACAGTGATTCTCAGATTTCAGCCTTCCAAGTAGCTAGGATTACAAGCAGGAGCCACTGGTATCCAGCTCTGTATTCTCTCTCTCTTTTTCCCCCCTTCGGTCATGGGGCTTGAACTCAGGGCCTAGGTGCTTCCTGAGCTCTTTATGCCCCATGCTAGTGCTCTAACACTTTGAGCCACACTCCACTTTGGGGTGGTTAATTGTCTCATAGACTTTCCTGCCTGGGCTGGCTTTGAACTGCAATCCTCAGCTCTCAGCCTCTTGAGTACTATGATTACATGTGTGAGACACCAGCACCTGGCTTCATATATTATATTTCTGTGCGTTAAATTAGAATTATATTCTGATTTAATCCATATCTGCTGGGGAAAAATATGGATGCTGTGATATCTAAAAATTCATGCATTTTGATCATATTTTATAACACTTAACAGGTAGGGCTCTCATATTACTAAATGGTTTTCTCTTTTTAGTCTTAGTTCTTTTTTTTTTTTTTGGTCCGGTCGTGGGGCCTGAACTCTGGGTCTAGGCACTGTCCCTCAGCTCTTCAGCTCAAGGCTAGCGCTCTACCACTTGAGCCACAACGCCACTTCCGGCTTTTTCCTTTTTGCTTATGTGGTACTTAGGAATCGAACCTAGGGCCTCGGGAATGCAAGGCAAGCACTCTACCACTGAGCCACCTTCCCAGCCCCTTTAGTCTTAGTTCTTTCCAGAAGCAGTTTAATTTTGATTATAATAGATTTGAGATTAAAAATATTACTTATTGTCTGTGGGTTGGATATAAAAATACATAATACTTTTTTTTTTGGGTCCGGTCGTGGGGCCTGAACTCTGGGCCTGAGCGCTGTCCCTCAGCTCTTCAGCTCAAGGCTAGCGCTCTACCACTTGAGCCACAGCGCCACTTCCAGCTTTTTTCTTTTTGCTTATGTGGTGCTGAGGAATCGAACCCAGGGCCTCAGGCATGCAAGGCAAGCGCTCTACCACTGAGCTATCTTCCCAGCCCAAAAATACATATACTTTCTATATAGTGTGTGTGAGGTTAGAAATAAGCCTGTAATAAATGACAAGGGCACTTTAGAATGCATGGTCTTGCCAAAATAACATGTAGTGGTTGGTCTTCGTTACAGTTAATACACTGTCTCACAAGAAGTCTTTTTGCTTTTATACAGTTTCTATTCACATATGTACCTACAGGAGTAGCCAGAAGGGTCAGGGAGCATTAAGAATATATATATATGCATATATATAAGCATAATTATAAACACATATGTGTGTGTATATGCAAACATGTGGAAGGAGAACCAAAGTATCTAGTTAGCAAATATTTACTATGTTAGAGATCTGTATGATTCTTTTCTAAAGGCTGATACAAAGAAAAATAATAGCTGTTCTCCTCCTGCTCAACCATTTCATGTCATAATCGTGAAATGGAACTTAGGTTTCATACTCTTTGAAGCAGTAGTAGGTATTTTGCAAACTTTTAGCATTATTTTATTTCTTCCCTCTGCCTATCCTTTGGAATGCCCTTGCACGTCTTCTTCCTTATCTCTATACTAATTGTGAATGTTTCTTGTCTATTAGCCCTCTTCAGAGAGGTAAAAATTTCTTGACTTTTTTTTGTGTGTGAAAATACTGTACAGAGGGGTTACAATTACATGGGCAAGATAAGGCAAGATAATGAGTACATTTCTTTTTTCTTTTTTTTTGGTTGGTTGTGGGGCCTGAGCTCTGGGCCTGGGCGCTGTCTCTCAGCTCTTCAGCTCAAGGCTAGCGCTCTTCCACTTGAGCCACAGCACCATTTCCGACTTTTTCTGCTTATGTGGTGCTGAGGAATCGAACCCAGGGCTTCATGCATGGAAGGCAAGTACTCTACTACTGAGCCACCTTCCCAGCCCCATGAGTACATTTCTTATCAAGCATTGTAGCCTCCTCCTTTGTTCCCCTTCCCATCCCTTCCCATCCTCCCCCTACTTCCCCACCCAGTCCTCTTCCCCCCCCCCCCCCCCCAGTGGTAAAGTTCGTTTTCAACATAAGAACTTGTACATCTCATTGTTGCAATGGGTCCACCTGTATCCCTCTTTAAACTATTTGTTTTTTCCCTTCCCTTCCACAAATTATACTGACATCAAATACAGTGAAAGCAGGGGTTGTACTGTGGGGGAGAATTTCTTGACTTCTGTATCTTGAACTCCTTGCATCTCTGTTCCCACAATGTATATTAGATTATAATGACTTTCTAATGGCCAAATCCAGTCATTTGCTGAGTAATTTTTCTGCTAAACTTGAAAATTTGGTAATCCCCTCCTTGAAACTTTCCTCTTCTGAGTTTAGTGACTTCGCAGTTTTTTGG